GCAGAGACCCTCAGAGAGCCAGGGCTGACACAGGAGGACGAGGGGAGACTTTTGTGGGGGGTAGGAGAGAGACAAGGAGAACGGGGCATACAGAGAGATAGATGCAGAGAGAAACATAAAGATGGAGAGAGACAGACATAAAGACGGAGCGAGGTAAAGGCAGAGAGACAGAGACAGAGAGAGAGAGAGGGAGGCAAACGTGGACAGATATGGAAAGACAGAGAGATCAGGATAAAAATCAACACAAACACTGAGAGAAACAGGTGGAGGGGGCACAGAGAGCCCTAGGTAAATGGAAAACTCAAAAGGGAGCCCAAGAGAAGACAGAACATTCAACAGAACAAGGTAGAGGCAGGGCAAAAAGCCAGGATGGAGATTCCCAGAGATCCAGGCTGGGAAAAGCTGCTGCCCCCTGTACCACCCCCAGCTGCCAGCCAGGCACCCCTCACCAGTAGGGTGTCCCAATGAAAGAGAGGCGTCGAGCCAGCGTTGCCCCGATCTGGGCCGAGATACCAAAGTCAGCTAGAGGCAGAGGGAGAGATATAGTGACCTCTCCTGTCCCCTTGGGCCCCCAGCCAGTCCCCCTCCAGAGCCCCACCAGCCACACTCACCCAGTCTGACCTCCCCAGCATCATTGATGAGGATGTTGGCTCCCTGGGGAAGAGGGGGCGATTAGAGGCTCTCAGAGATAACCCCCAAGTCCAATGCTGCCGCCACTCCCTGTCCCACACCGCCCCGAGCCCTCCAAGCACCACTCCCATATCCTGGGCTCCCCACCCACCAAGGCCACCTTTCTGCCCCTAGACCACCTTGATGTCCCGGTGTATCTTCTTCTGTGAGTGGAGATAGGCCAGTCCCTGGGGAGGAGGGTGGACACGGGGGCTGTAAGTGTCCGGGGGCTGGAGCAGGGCCCTGCCCCTACCCAAGCCCACAGAGCATCTCCTCACCTGGAGCACTTCCCGGCAGACATAGCTGATCTGGAGCTCTGACAGGGGGCCTGTCACTGCAAAGGTCACCCCGGTGCGGTGTTGGGTGCGGGCCAAGCCCCTGGCCGCCTCCCACACCAGCTGAGAGGGTGCCACATAGAGAGGGGGAAACAGGATGGGACAAGTAGGGGGAGGAGGCAAAGGGGTGGTCAGCAACAGAGAGAGGGGCAGCGATGCAGGGAACCAGAGGCCGGAGGGAGAGAGATTCGTTCAACAGATATTTACCGCGTGCCTACTGTGTGCCAGCCACCGTGGCAGGCACCGGGGATACAGCTGTGGACAAAAGAGGCAGAGATCCCTGCCCTCATGGACAGAACATTCCGGTGGGGGAGATGGACAGTAGACAAGATAAACAGGTAAGATATACAGTACGTGAGATGCTAATAAATAGAAGAAAAATAAAGCAAGAAAAGACAACAGGAAATCTGTGTGGGAAGGGGTATGACATTTTACACAGGGTGATCAACCCTGAGAAGGTGACGGGGGCGAAGATGGGAGCAGCAAGTGCAAAGGCCCAGAGGCAGGAGAGTGCCTGGTGGGTCTGGAAAGCAGTAAAGTGGATGGAGCGGAGATGAGGTGTGTCTGCTTGGGGTGTGCCAGTGGGGGTCAGACTTGCCGGCTGTGATGAGAAATTTGGGCTTGGCTTTGGAGGGAACTGGAAGGTATGGAAGGGCTCTGAGCAGGGGGTGATGTCACTTTGTAAAATGAGGAAAGGCAGAGAGAGACAGGGAGAGAGACAGAGAGAGAAAGAGAATCAGGAACAGACCCAAATTGAGGCAGAGAAAGAAAGACATGGTCGGAGAACAAAAAGTGGGAAAACAGACATGGTGAGAAAGAGAGACACAAAGGGGTGAAGAGGATACACTAGAGAGAGACAGTAGGCAGAGGGGTTAGAGACCAGGTCTGACGGGCTGGCAGGGTGAGTCACTTCCTCTCTGTGGGCCTCAGTTTCCCCCTCTGAGGACTTCTTAATGAAGTCCTTCCTTCCTGGCATTTGAGGTCTGAGGCCAGAGGGAGACCGGGAGATGGTCGAAGATAGAGGTGCACAAGAGAAAACTCGAAGTGATCAGAGGCCCACCCCACCCACACCCTCCAATGCTCCGAGAGAGTGAAAAGCAGGCTAAGAGAATCAGAAATACAGTCACTATTAAACGAACATGTGGGCACTGAGGATGAGCCAGAAATGCAGAAATACTCAAACGCATGAATACACCTTGGTGAGAAAATGCAGACATGGGGAAGATGGGGCAGGGGAAGTAGAGGGGATCATTGCATGCAGAAAGACTGGGGCTGGACTCTCAGGTCCTGGAGGACAGGGGTCAGTGCCCGCTCGGTCACCACAGTATCCCCAGCATCATACAGGCCAGGCCAGGCCCAGAGGAGGGGCCAGCTTACTGTGTGAAATATGGACCGTAAAGACAGTCCCAGGAGACACAAAGGCAGAGAGACAGGACAGGCGAATTGGGGGGAATGGGGCTACCTGGATCCCCGTGCCCTTCCTCTCACCTTGGTAGATGTCCTGGAGAGAACCAGCCCCACAGAATTCCATGCAGATCCAGAGCTTCTGCAGCCTGTAACAGTTCAAAAGCAATACTAATAACAGCAGTAATGATTATAGGATACCTCCTGGCTCACTGTCCATCTTATTCTAGTTCAACAAGAACTTTAATGTAAGAGCTGTCATCTCTCTATTGCCCACTACAGTGAGAGCATCCCATTTTATAGATGGGGAAGTTGAGGCTCAGAGAGGAAATATATGTTTAGGATCAACTGGAGTGGAACCCAGCTCTTTGGGCTCCTGACCCGTGGCATCCTCTGTCGTCCCATGCTAACCTAGGAGACAGGGTAGAGACCTCACAGGTTGTGGAAGTTTGGAGGGGACAGAGGAGCTAGGATACCAGGTCTGGGGGACAGAGGACTTTATTGGGGCATCTGGGATCTTAATTTGGGGGTCAGGGAATTTAGGGGTTCGTATTAAAGGAAATGAAAGTGAAACTAGGGGACCCGAAGGGCAAAATGATGAAAGATTAGTTTTAGGGGACTTGGTTTCAGGTTTGGTTACTCTGAAGGGGTCAGTTTGGTGGACCCCCTAGTCAGAAATGGGAGTTATTTATTGGAGATTAGATTTGGGGGTGCTCTGGTCAAAAAACTGGGACTTTGGGCTGGGGATCAAGTTAGGAGTGCCCCAGTTAAAAATGGGGGTCCAGGATTTGAGGTCAGGTTAGGGGGTACCCTGGTCAGGAATGGGAGCTCGCGTGTAGGGGCTGGGCTGGGTGTCAGGGCAGGTCTGAGGCTCATCACCAGAGATAACTCCCATGGTAGGCAACGATGTTGGCGTGCCGACAAGTTTTCAAGATGAGGATTTCCTTCTGAAGTGTGGAAACATCATCGTCTGCAAGGAGGGACAGAGAGAAAAGGTTGCTACAGGGAGGGAGTATGGGGGAGATCCCAGTGTCCCAGGAGGTGGGCGTGTGGGGAAGAAGCTCCTGAGGTCCTCTCCTCACCAGGCTCCATCTTCACCATCTTCAACGCCACCAGGTCCCCCGTCACCTTGTCTCGAGCCTTGTAAAGGGGAAGTTGGCAGTCAGGCGGGCTCCATTCGCCTGAGCTCCTCCTCAGCAACCCTGAACCAAAGCCAAGGACTGGGACCCTCTCACATCCCCTTCCCTTCTTGGGCCTCACCCCAAAGGTCACCAGTTTGAGGGTGATGGAGAATGAGGGGGTTCCTCACCTTGAAGACTTCCCCATAGGTGCCACCACCCAGCCGCTGTAGCAGGTCATAGTGGTCCCGGGGATCCCTATTAAAGATGTCAGGGTCCACGAGGTCCATTCCTGGGGCCCGGAGCTGGGCCTGCGCCCAGTGGCCAGCAGGGCCTCAGGGCTCGGAGTGCTGTCACCTCCCTCCCTCCCCACACGCCCTGCACCCGCCTTGCCTCCACCGGCTGTGGCCTCCCCCCTCCCCACTCTCGCTTCCTGCCCCAGCACAGAGCTGTGCAGCTGGCTCCACCCCCTGTCCCCTGGGCCCTACGAGCCTGTGAGGGGCAGCTTGCCTTGGGACCCAGGGGACACCCCCTCCACTTCCAGGGCCCTGGGCTGCATGTAAACCAGATGCAAACTATCTTAATTGTGACCTGGAGGGGTGCCCTAACACTCCCTCCCCCGTTCTGGGCAGCGGCTAAAAACTACAGTTGAACCTCTGCTGAGTGCTTGAGTGCTGGGCCACAACTCAGAGATGGCAGGTCTGCACAGAGACGGCCATGCAATGTATATCACTGCTCACCGGGGGCACATACATGCACTTAGTGGTAACCTCCTGTGCGGTGCGAAGACCAGTCGACATGCAAATGCCTGGATATCCGTGTGCACATATGTGGATGTACCCAGAGCATATACATAAGTGACACATGCATGTGTATCCATGCCTGCAGTGTGCAGAATCTGTTCACACATCTCATGACGGCACACACGGGGCACTCGCTTTCACCCACAAAACGAGCCGGAGGAGTCCAGGAACCCCCTCACCCTGCCCCTGCCGGGCAGAGAACAACGGCTTTGCGGGCCGCAACCCCCGGCGTTAGAATGGAGTGCGAGGAGCTCAGGATCCTGCCTCAGGGACCGAGGCCTGGGCCAAAAGGGGACCTCAGAGAGCACCTTCCTCGGGACTTGGCCACGGCCCAAAAGGAATCTGTCTAACACGTGCATTCCAACACAGTTTTGAGTTCACGGCCGCGCGCAGTGCGACGTGGGTGCAAGCCACCAGTAAACAGGCTCCTTCACTGGGAGTTCCCGCGCACTTCCCAAGGACTGGAACTGGATACGCGAGGCCCCGGAAAACCTTAGCCCCGCCTCCTCGCCTCTAGAAGCGCCTGCGCACTGGGCTAGACTAGGTCTTTTCTCGCGCCGTTGGTTCTGCTCGGTTAGAGCGTATGCGCACGCGCTAACTGCGCCGCTGGGAAGAAGTCACGCGGCAGCCGGAAAGCGTGGCAGTAGCCTCCAGAGCTTCCCCACACCTTCACCGCCACTCGGGCTGGAGAGAAAACAAAGACGTAGTTTCCGTTTCCACCAGCTCTTCCTCTTCTAGTTCTCGAGGACGCAGTGCCGGCCGGGAGTTCGGCTGTAGCCCTGGTGTGGGAGGCGACAACAGTCATGGCGATGTTCGAGCAGATGAGAGCGAACGTGGGCAAGTTGCTTAAGGGGATCGACAGGTCTGAGCCTGGTCGGAGGGAGCACTTCTGGCCAAGAGGGGTGGAGGAGAGGGTTTTCTGGAGACAGCAAGGGGTGGGATTTTTCAGTCATCCTGGAGGACATGTTTAAGGAAAGCACTGTAAAGGCCTAAAGGCAGGAGGTAGCCTTGCCAACCGCTCAGTCTCCCCCTCTTTAATTGCTTTAAGCCCGCCCTCTCTGCTCCTCAGCTTTCCCTCTATCAGCCCCTCAGTTTCCTCTCTCTGTTCCTCAGTCTCACTGTGTCTCTCAGTGCCTCTTTATTGCTCTCCTTTTTTTTCCTCATGTCATTCATTGAACACATGTTTACTAAAATCTACTCGGTCAGTTCTGGGCAATGCTGCGGACCACAGGTGACCAAAAACAGCCAAAGGTCATGCTTTCATGCAGTTCCTAGTTCAGAGTCCAGGCAGACCAGACAATAGACAGTGATAGCCAGGAGTGGTCAGAGCGGTGATGGGGGAAGCACAGATAGATTGGTCGGGGCTGGGATGAGGGAAGCTAGGCAGGAGAGGATGGGGCTAGACCACAGTGGGGTTTGGGGACAGAAGGAAGGGGTGGGTGGCGAAGATGTCCAGGGGACCAGGTATACAGGCTGCAAGGGCTGGTTGGCTGAGAGATTGAGGAGGCATCCTAGAAAAGACTCCAGGGTTCTGATGGGGTTTAGAGATTACACTTAGGTCTGGGATGTGGATAAGCTTCAGTAGAGGTTATAGAGCTGATTCAGTATTTGAGTAGAGCAAATGGCCAGTGACAGATGTAGAGGGAGGGAAGAAAGGAAGAGGGAGGAGCAGGCTACAGTGCCCTCCACCCCCCACCGGGTTCCATAGAGTGACGGGCCTCAGCTCTTGTCTCCTCTTTGCTTACCCATCTTGTTTCTCCTCTACTCTAGGTACAATCCTGAGAATCTGGCCACCCTGGAGCGCTATGTGGAGACACAAGCCAAGGAGAATGCCTATGATCTGGAAGCCAACCTGGCTGTCCTGAAGCTGTAAGTGTCTGCCTCCATTCCCACCCCCATGCCAGTAGCCAGCACTCCCAGCACTGGGTGGGGTGGGAGTTGGGGGTGGCCTGCAGGATGTGGCTTCTCTCTCTTTTTCAGAGTTGAAGTATAGTTGATTTACAATGTTGTATTAGTTTCAGGTGTACAACATAGTGTTTGGATATTTTTATAGATTATGTTCTGTTTAAAGTTATTATAAAATATTGGTTATATTCTCTGTGTCGTACATTACATCCTTGTATCTTATTTATTTTATACATTGTAGTTTGTACCTCTTAGTCCCCTATCTTCCCCTGTTTTGCCACTCCCCCACCCCACTCCCCTCTGTTAACCACTAGCTTGTTCTCTGTACCTATGAGTCTGTTTGTTTTGTTGCGTTCATTCGTTTGTTTTATTTTTTAGATTCCACATAGAAGTGAAAACATATGGTATTTGCCTTTCCTTGTCTGACTTACATCACTAAGCATGATATCCTCTAGGTCCAACCATGTTGTTGCAAATGGCAAATTTCCATTCTTTTTTTTTTTTTCTTTAAATGGATGAGTAATATTCCATTGTGTGTATGTGTTTATATGTACCACATTTTCTTTATCCATTCATCTGTTGATGGACACTTAGGTTGCTTCCAGATCTTGGCTATTGTAAATGGTGCTGCTCTGAACATTGGGGTGCATGTATCTTTCGAATTAGTGTTTTTATTTTCTTCAGATATATACCCAGGAGTGGAATTGCTGGATCATATGGTAGTTCTATTTTTAATTTTGGGGGGAAGCTCCATACTGTTTTCCATAGTGACTGCACCAATTTACATCACACTAACAACCTACGAGAGTTCTCTCTTCTCCACATCCTCGCCAGTGCTTTGTTATTTGTTTTTTTTGATGATAGCCATTTTGACAGATGTGACGTGATATCTCATTGTGGTTTTGATTTGCATTTTCCTGATGATTAGCCATGTTGAGCATCTCTTCATGTGCCTGTTGGCCATCTGTATGTCTTCTTTGGAAAAACGTCTATTCAGGTCTTCTGCCCATTTTTGAATAGGGTTGTTTGTCTGTTGGTATTGAGTTGTATGAGCTCTTTATATATTGATATTTTGGATAGAATGTGGTTTCTCTTAATGTGCAAGACTAGGAAGCCAGAGAAGTTGGGGCTGGAGGAGGGATGGCTTTTAAATAAAAACACACATACAGGCTAGTACATAAAACGAATGTATAGTTTAACAAGCGATTATAAATGAACACCTATGTAATCACCATCCAAGTTGAAAAACTGAGTGTTGCTAGCGCCCCTGGTCCTTTGCCCCACATGCTTTGTGCCAACCACCCTGACCCTGGTAACCGCTCTCGTGGTGTGCTCTCATGGCCTGGCTTTATGTGAATTTACTGCATGTGCACGTACACACGCACACATACACATGCATCCTGATTAGCTTAGTTCAGGTTTGCCTGTTTTGACCTTGACATGAGTGTCATTATACAGCTGGAGCTCTTCTGCGCCTGGCGTCTTCCGCTTGGCCCTGGGCTTGTGAGCTCCATCCTTCTGTGTGGCTGCAGTTTGTTTGTTGTCATTGCTGTGTAGTGTTCCATGTGTGTCTGTGTCTTAATTATCTGTTCTCCTGTTAGTGGGCGTTTGGGTTCTTCCTCCTCAGTGCTTTATTGACATACTACCAGCTGTGTAATTTTTATAGCTTGCATAGCCTCGGTTTTGCCATCGATAAAATGGAGATAACAACACTTGTGTTTGTGAGGTTGTTTGGGTGGTTATTGGTGATAACCGCTGCTTAGTCAGTGCTCCCCATGTGGCAGCTGCTGTGCTGGGAGCTTTGTGTGTATTAACTCACTTAGATGTGAGGTAATTGTGCACTCACTTGCCCTTGAGAGCTAGATATGGTTGTTATTGTCCCGTCTTGCAAGGGAGGAAACCGATGCACAGAGCATTTAAAATAAGTAGTCCGGGCTTCCCTGGTGGCGCAGTGGTTGAGAGTCCGCCTGCCGATGCAGGGGACACGGGTTCGTGCCCTGGTCTGGGAGGATCCCACATGCCGCAGAGCGGCTGGGCCTGTGAGCCATGACCGCCGAGCCTGTGCTCCGCAATGGGAGAGGCCACAATAGTGAGAGGCCCACATACCGCAAAAAATAAAATAAAATAAAATAAATAAAAATAAAATAAGTAGTCTGCTAGTCCCCACCAAACAAACAAACAAATAAATAAATAAGTAGTCCAAGGTCACTCAGCACTGAAGTTTAAACCCAGGCACTTGGCTCCAGAGCCTTGACCAGTACTGCAGACTGCCTCTTATGTACTCATTTGTTTGTGAATCACTCAACACTGTCTGTCTTACTGTATGGTTGTGAGCATTAACTGTCCCCATCTACAGAGCAGGAAAGTAGGGTCAGGGAGGTTAAGGTCACACAGCCAGAGAGTGGTGTGGTTGGGATCGGAGCCCAGGTGTGTCCAGCTCCCAGACTCTGGGCCGAAGCAGTGGGCAGCCTGTCTGGCACCTGGTGAGGCCCAGGGACCTGGAGACAGCACTGCTACTGTGTCTCTTGTTCCCCTTCTCAGGTACCAGTTCAACCCAGCCTTCTTCCAGACCACAGTCACCGCCCAGATCCTGCTAAAGGCCCTCACCAACCTGCCCCACACCGACTTCACGCTGTGCAAGTGCATGATCGACCAGGCCCATGTATCCTTCCCATTTCCCGGGCTGGGTGTGTGGGAGGGGGCGGGGCAGGGTAGCTGAATTCATGGGGAAGTGGTCTGAGTTCAGCCACAGACACTGAGCTCTGAGCTTGGCCCGGTGCTGGCTGGGACTGGAGCACTGTGGAGGCTGAGGAAGGCCTGGCCCCCTGCCCTCACGGAGCTCACAGTCCAGTGGGGGAGACCTGTCCTGTCGGTGACAGCCTGAAACAGTCAGGGCTTGGGGTTAGAGAGCAAGAGGCACCTGAACCTGTCTGGATGCTAGGAAAGCTTACTGGAGGAGGGAACATATGAAAGGTGAGGAATTAGGTGAAGCGGTAGGGAAGGGTGGTCCAGGCAAAGGGAATAGTATGTAGGGAAAGGAGGAGGAGAAGAGCTCAGTGCTGGTTTTCAGAGGCAGTAGAGGATGTTTGGCATAGCTGCGCCACAGAATTGGTCAAACTCAGAAAGGGCACTGGGGAGCCGTAGAAGGCTTTAAAACTGCAGAGCGATATGGGTAGATTTATGCTTTAGAAAGATTCCCATGAGGCTTCCTAGCTGAGTAAAGACCACCAGGCAAAAGGCAGGAGCCGTGAAGAGCTAGATTGCCAGCTGAACTTCATTGTATGTAACCTCAGGGCCTGGCACAGTGTCTGGCACAGTGCTGGTCTTCAGTGAAGAAATACTGAGTGAAAAATCAATAAACTGGCCTGCTCACTGGTGGCTGGGCTGAGAAGTGTCTTCCTCATTGAACCTGCTCTGCCAGGTGTGTCCATGGGAGCACCTGCCTTCTGAGAGACTGTCCACCTTCCCCAGAGGTCTGTTCCGGTGGCTTAAAAAAGGCACGTTGTCCACTTTTCAAAGTACAACAAAGTGTACAGTGAAAAAGCCAAGGCTTCCTCCCTCCCCATCCCACAGCCACCTACTCCCCTCCCCGAAGACAGCAGTTGTTTGCAGTTCTTGGCTACCTTTCCACAGATACCCTACTGGTACATAAGTACAGGTGTTTATAGACACATATTCCTCCCCAACCAAATGGTGGGCTGTTACACACATCATTCTGCATCTTGCTTTTTTCTTATCACAGTGTGTCTCATCGCTTTCTCCATGTCACTTCTATAAGAGGTGACTCGATCTCAGTGTGTGGAGTGGCCACAGTTGAATTGTCCCCATCACTGGGTCACTAGGGTGTTTCTCACTTTTACCATTACGAGCGTGCTGCGGTGCACACAGGTGGGCGGGCTGGTCTAGGGTCAGCAGCAGCCTCCTCGGGCTCCAAGACCTTTTGCCCTTAACGCTTCCTCCCAGCAAGAAGAACGGCCCATCCGGCAGATTTTGTACCTCGGAGACTTGCTGGAGACATGCCACTTCCAGGCCTTCTGGGTAACTTCTCTTGGGTCTGTGGTCAGGGTGGTGACTGGGCCGCGTGGAAAAGACTGCTAAAAGTCACGGCCAGGTCTTCCCTGGTGGCGCAGTGGTTGAGAGTCCGCCTGCCAATGCAGGGGACACGGATTCATGCCCTGGTCCGGGAGGATCCCACATACCGTGGAGTGGCTGGGCCCATGAGCCATGGCCGCTGAGCCTGCGCGTCCGGAGCCTGTGCTCGGCAACAGGAGAGGCCACAACAGTGAGAGGCCCGTGTACCAAAAAAAAAAAAAAAATAGTCACGGCCATGCACATTTGTTGGCTGCCTCCGTGGCAGTGGGCCCTGTGCTCAGAGCTTTGCGTGTGTGGTCACATGGAATGGTCATCCTCACCCGGAGCCAGGACTCCCAGGTCCTCTCCTCTGCCCGCAAAGCTCAGGAGCGTGCTCACGCGGCCCGCTCTCTCTCCCCCCC